GTCTGCGTGGGGACCTCATTGAAGTATACGAGTATACCCATGGTTTATACAAGGTCCCCGAAGAATTACTAGAATTTGAAACAAGAACCAACACCAGGGGCCACGCCTATAAATAAAAAAACTGCGCTGTGACTTGTCCACGCGACAACTTTTCTTCTCGCTTCGAATCACCGACATGTGGTACAGCCTTCTTGACTACATCGTTGGCGCTCCATGTATGAACGTGTTCAAGAATAGACTAGATAAAGCTATGAAAAAATATATGGTCAGACTTGAAATGTCCAACACCATATCGAACACGGTGGAAGTCTAGTAGCTATTTCAAACTATCATCAGTCTTGAAAAGATCCGGTCAAATGACACAATTTAAGATCTTCTGTGAACAAGTCACGAAAAGTTCAAGAAACGGCGACAGGCCACATCAGGCCTACTCTTTAGCGGCGACATCACTATGTTATGTTACGTTATGTTATATAAACACATATTAGTATGGGGCCGGATTATCAAAACTTCGTGTTACGTAAGTACACCCTAATTTTGGCATTATCGAAACTTTCGTACGCAAGACTCGTCAGGAAATCTATTGTCAAAACCATCTGGCTAACTGACAAATCAGAGGCTTTAAATTTGCTATTCCTAGCTACTGTCGACTCAGTGCGCAGTGCGCGTGGATGAAAGGAGGTTGTGTCGTGTCAGCGGCATCTGCGTTGACTGACTAGGGAGAATATGGAGAAATGAGCGAGACGTTGCCCAAATAGCAATGTACTTTTCGTCATTGTGATCGACAATAAAAATTTTTGGCAATCAAGGCAAAAAATTGCATTATTCCCATTCAAAATTATAGGACTTTTTTAGAGAGCTACCTAGTATTTAGAACATTTTGTGAGTTGGAGTTGATAGAGAAAGAAAGGAATTTCCGTACGTAGCTAGAAAAAAATGGTTGGCTTGTCAACCTCCACTTAATTTTGAATCAAATAGGCATGAAGTTATTGTTTTAGTGAATGATCATAAAACTTCTAGATATGAATATCAACATTTGCTTGTAAATAATAGCACAAAAGGAAAACAAATTAGCTGGTATAAACTCTGTCCCAAAAGCACCGTTTAGCACGATCACATATTATGCCTACATTGAATTATTGACAAAGTTCTATCACAATGCACCGTGTTGCAATTAAATCAATAGTTTTATATTGCTTCGACACACTACAAACTTGTCCGTAACTCCACTTCGACACCTCCGAGCAGGCGTACAGCTTCTCTTACCTAGCTTCCGCGCAAATGTTTTGATAATACCACCGCTAGAGTTACGTCTTAATAGCAGCACTTACGCCAATCGTTCATCAAGTGTTACTTCCCTTATTTTAATTTTGCACCGCATTTTCCTGTGACGAACAAATAACTTTTCGGCTCTACCAGCCTATACTTCCATAAGAGGAAGTATAGGCTCCTCCAACTACCATCTGAAAAAATCTGGACCAATGAAACTGAAGGATGAAGAGGCCTGAGGCGCGCGACGCTCACGCACTTGGCAGATTACTCACCGCGCTCTGAAATGTTAGCCTCCAGCGAGCACTTTTTATACTCGTATATGGGATGAGCAATTCTTTCTTCTTCACTTCGCACCTATTATTTTCAGGTCAAGATAAAGAGAGCCTCGTAGACACCATCTCCATAAAGTAATTGTACAAATAACAATATGAGTTTAAAAAGTACTTTTTAAGGACAACACTTCTAAAGAGGCCGTTATCTATGATGTTACACATATACAATGAATTTCTGATTTTATTTTTAAATCTTATAAAAAAAATTTTTACATTTTTCAATATTGAAAACATTTCTTTAAATTTTCTAAATTATTAATTCTATCAATTGATTCATGCACTGACTCCTACTTTACGCAACTATGCAAAGTGAAAAATTTCAGTTCTACAACTCAACCTGCCACCCTAGAATAAAGATTGCGAGTTGTCATACCGAGGTACGCTCGCATATGCATAGACAGAATATCTTTGTACCTAAAAAAGAACCGATTTTAAAATTGTTCACCAATAGAAGACGAATATTAACATTTGGGAAGTACTTTGAGAACAAAAGTTTCAGCTCCCTTGACATAGTATCGGATACAGGGCACAAGTATGTTAGAAAGCAACAAACAACATTTCTGCTGTCTCGCTCGGGAGCAACCTCGATCATCGCACCGCTTGGACATGAATTTCTTTATTTGGGTAAACAGCAGACTAGTCGGAAATACATTAAGCGGAAAGATATGGCGTAAATATTCGAATTCAGCGTGCTGAGCATGGTAAGTAGAACAAATACGAAGCCCCCGATGTATAAGTGTTTGAAGCCCATCGATCAACGAGCAAAAGCTAAAAAAGATGGTATAAGACCTGTGAAAGTCGATTTTCGGAACAAGGAAGTGTGAAGACGGCCAATAGACTTAGTATTATTAATATTGCAGTCGAGGAAGGACAGGCTATTGTTAGATTCAAGCTCCACAGTTAATATGATGGATTTATGGTGCGAATTTAGGTAATCGAAGAAGAGTCTGATGTTAGAGGGACGCTTAAAAGTTAAAAAAGTGTCATCGACGTACCTGATGTAGAATTTGGATTGAAATCGAGAGAGCAATTGGATAGCCAAGAAACCTAGTGAAAATATTAAAATATTCGAAAAGGTGGGCCAAGCGGTAGTCCCTTGCCTAAACCATCAATCTGTCGGTAAAACTTGTAAGCAAATATGAAAGGAAGTTTAGAACAGATAATACCAAACGAGATTTAAAAAAATACGTTTTTACGAGATTTACGAGATTTAAAAAATACATCCTTAAACAAAGAGTTCAGGCAGATTTCAATGCTTTCATGAAGAGGCACATATTAGTAACAAATTTTCCACGTCAAAAGAGGCCATATAGTTTGGTCCTGAACGTAGGTAAAATCCTCTAGGCGGTCCACAAACTTATAAAACTTGTCCACAGTATACTTATTAGTTGTGAGACAGTTTAAAACTGGTCCCAAAAACTTAGCAATTTTAAAACTAGGCGTATTGTAAGCGGCAAAAATTGGCCGAATTGAAACTTTGAGGAAAAATCAGATATATTGAATTTTGGGCAAACCATATAAAATACCAGGACATGAACCAGAGGTGTTAAGTTTCGAATAAGTTTCAGGTGAAAAGGCAAAAGTATCTCTAAGTTTACGCAAGAAGTTATTGATTTTATCCTCGATCTTCAAAATGGTTGTAGATATTGGATCTGAAATTTCAACTAATTCAAAAGGATCGGCCATAAGTGCAGTAAGGCTACTGTTGTACCAAATACGATCCACCAATACAACGCCCTTGCCCTATCAGGTAGTCAAATGATCAGGCCTTTATTTTTGGCCAAATCTTTCAATAATATGCGACTATTATATTTTTTCAGCATTTGAAAAACTTGCTTTGAAAATAATGAGTGTTTCTATCCCCAACCGACCTTGGGGATATTTCTTGGGGAGCTGCATAGCTTAGCCTACCGTCATTTTTATGGTTTCAAGCCACTAAAATTTTTCTTTTGTATTCTTATACACTCTTTTATTGAAAGATTTACTCTCGACGCCGTAATTAACTATATACACTTCTCTTTGACTTCACTTCTTGTTGTTTGTTTGTTTATCTGCTACAAACCATAAATAATCGATTTTTAACACACTTCTCCCTGTCCAACGATCTGCGGATTATCAAAACTTCGTAACTTTTTGTACATACTGTACGACAAAAAAGGTACGTGTTACGAAATTACACCCTAATTTTGGCATTATCAAAACATTCGTACGCAAGACTTTGCTAAAAGCGTATTATCAAATCCATCCGGCTAACTGACCAATCAGAGGCTTTGGATTTGCTCTTCCTATAGCTCCAGTAACCTCCGCTCGACCAGTGCGCAGTGCGCTTGGACGAAAGCAGGATGTGTGGTGTCAGCGGCATTTGCGGTGCCTGACTAGGGTGTATTTGGATAAATCAGTGAGACGTTATCCAAATAGCAGTGCACTTGTTGTTGTGATTAACCGAAATATCTTGCAATAAGGGCAAATAAATGCATTATTCCCATTCAAAATTAGAAGAATTTTTTAGAATGTTACAAAGGATTTAGAAAATTTCGTGAGTTGGAGTTTCGACTGCCATAAAAAGAAATAAATTTGTTTACAGAGAACTAGAAAAATGGTTGGCTTGTCAACCTCAATATAATTTTGAATCAAGAAAGCATTAAGATATTGTTCAAGTGAATAATCATGAAACTCTAAGATATGAATATCAACATTTGCTTGTAAATTATAGCACAAAAGTCAATTGACATTTTTATCCCAAAAGTGCCGTTTAACTAACACGATCACATATTATGTGTCGGATTATTGACAAAAGTTTATCACAATTCACCGTGTTGCAACTTGCTAGTAAATCAATAATTTCCTATTGCTACAGCAGGCACTAAACTTTTGCGGAACTCCACTTACGACATCTCCGAGCAGGCGTACAGTTACGTTACGTAGCTTCCCGCGCAAATGTTTTGATAATACCACCGCTATAGTTACGTCATCATATCAGCACTTAATTACGCCACTCGTAAGTCGATTTTGCGTACTTGCGAAGTTTTGATAGTACGGCCCCAGCTGGTCACTTTCTATCGCGCCCCCCTCATTCTGCTGTGCGCACTCACGCCGAGCAGTGCGATGTTGCAATTTCAGATAGATACTTCAAAGTTTTAGCTTCCACTTCCGGTGCTTCCAATTTGCGCATTTTAGAATAATTGTATATTTTCAAACAGAGGCCTAGTTTGAATTCAGCTTTTAGCTCTTACTCACTTGAAATTGTAAATAGATAGGTTTTATCGTTTAGGTTTTTTGTAATCTTGATTGTACTAATTACTGATTTATCTGTGTTCTAGAATTCTCGAACTGACGATGGAGCTGGACAACAAAACGTAATTTTTAATTAAACAAACAAAATTTAATTAAACAAACAAAACAATAATTTTTATTATTCATGCAAACGAGTGGTACTATTACTAATTCAATATTGTATTTTTGTATTAATATTGTATAATAAATTTGAATCTTGAATTGAAGCAAACAAGAAGGCAAACGAAAATTTGCATGCAAAAACGTGATACCCTACATTCGTTAAGAAATTTGGAAAATATTAAAATCTTTCATAAAAAGAAAGATGATATGGCTTATTAGTTCTGATTTCGTTTCCTAGGCATGCGACCTTAAGCAATTGCTGAATGACGTAAATATAAACGTGGAAAAAATCCGTAAAGTAATAACGAGCAAAGAATAACAAAATGATGTCATGAAAATTCAAGCTAGCACATATGATAAAAACGTGAAGTGTAGGATATTGTGCGGTGAAAAGTATATGAGCGTCGATGCTCTCAATGATCGTGCTTGTCAATCTCGCCGCCCTGAGCCACCCAATCGTTGAACGATCCCTTGTACGTCCTGGAATTAGAATTAATTTTAGTAAATGAAATATGATTCTATTTAAATTAATACTGCATAGATTGTAATCCTCCCTAGCATGCAAGAAGCAGCTGAGAAATTAATCTAAAGTTTACTTCAATATATTATAGCCAGTGTAAAAAATTTATCTATCAATAATATTCATATCTAAGACACTGCAATGGTTAAAGCAATGATAGCAGCCCAACAGAACATTGGAAATTATTCCGCCAGGAAAAGATATGGGAACTTTGAACGAAAACAAAGCCAGTCCTAGAACATAAGCAGCACTTCAAAATAAGATTCTGCAACTCTACCGACGACAAAGCAACCCTCGAAACAGGAACAACTCAACATGATGTGATAAGACAACAAAAACAACACAGCAGAGCTTGTCTTACTTGACGTTGTGGTAGCCTCGGGCGTTGAGGGCCTCGGTGGCCTTGCCAGCGCGGCCGCCCTTGTTGCAGTGGGTGATGATCTCGTCGCCCTGCTGGGGCTTGGGGAAGCCGTGCTTAGCCTCGAACTCGGAGCTGTCCAGACGAAGGGCGTCCTCCAACTCCCGCACTGGGGGAGGAGGCAATTAAATAGATTCTGAGCCTCTAACTCTGGCACTTGCGAAAGTAATTAAATAGATTATGAGCCTCTAACTCTGGCACTTGCGAAAGTAATTAAATAGATTATGAGCTTCTAACTCTGGCACTGGCGAAAGACCCAATTTTCTCACTTTTTACTATGCCGGTTTGACTTATCGATCGAATTTGTACCGAAACGATTTCAGTGAAAGGTTCAATTTTAGTACAGTTCAGTGAAAATTGTGCGAATAGTGAGAAAAACGGCTAGTACAAGTGTTTTATTCCCGACAAATGCCAGCGCATGAAGCGAGGGAGTTTGTAGCTTGTTGGCAACTCTCGGCGACCGCTTACCCACCGGAGAACAACGGTGCCTTGAGACGCTCAGGGGCCGTATTATCAAAACTTCGGAAGTACGCAAAATCGACTTACGAGTGGCGTTGCTATGACAACGTAATACTAGCGGTGGTATTATCAAAACATTTGAGCGGGAAACATTTGCGCGGGAAAAACATTTACGCTTTTAGCTAAGACTTGCGTACGAAAGTTTTCATAATACCAAAATTAGGGTGTACTTACGTACCACATAACTTTTTTGTCGTAAGTACAAAAAGTTACGAAGTTTTGATAATCCGGCCCCAGGCCTCGTTTTCCTATACCCTCCCCACCTTCTTGGCCCCTACTCCTCTTCCTCTCCGCCCGACTTACGCGTCGATCCCTTGATTCCCCCACCACACCTCTGTCTTTCCCTCGCCAGCTGCAGCTCAGCTGTTCCTCCAGCCGAAAATTTCGAGGGAACTTTATTATACTTAACTCAACTTAGTTTTGTATTTTTCTCGTCCTTTTCTCCGTTCAAGAGATCTAGTTCGAGCATTTTATAATGACTGGACAGAAAATAAAAAAGATAGTCGAAAAGTCCTCTAGGGCCTCTAGAAAAAAGCCCTCTACGGCCTCTATGAAAAAATTAAACCAGATCAGCCGAGCTAGAGACGAAAGTTTGCAAGTACTGCAAAGTGATCTCACTGAGCGAAGTCCAGACGGTCACCTGTGAACGCTGCGGAGACCTCATTTATATTAGCTGTTCGAAGTTGAGCTCTAAGGAGTACGCATTTCTCCAGAAATCTAAATTGCTTCATTGGTTTTGCCGTGATTGCGAAAAATCAACTCTTGGTGCTCGAAAAAGAGAGGAGTCGGTGGAAGAGCACGGCAATGAGTCGAAATTGTTGAATGATGTAGTAAATTCCTTGAGTGAGATGGTGCGCTCGCTGAGTGACAAACTGAGCTCGCTATGCAATGAGCGGACTGAAGTGAAGACTAAGCTAAAAAATACGGAAGAAATGGAAGTAAAGAACAAGACAGCTGATTTATCTGAAGCCGCTAGCGAAAGCTCACGTGAATTACTTAATAGAGAACGTAGGAAAGCCAACCTGGTTTGGTTTGGGATTCCAGAAAAGCACCGCATCTGATGCGAAGGACCGAGTGATGGATGACACGGCATTTGTTGTAGACTTTTGCAGTAAGGTACTCAACACACCTATTGATGTTACTGCCTGCAAGAGGCTACGCTCGAAGGATGCTGCCAACACATGCAGACCTTTGCTGGTGACTGCAAAGGATTCTTGTCAGGTCTGAAGCGTGCTGAAAACAGCGAGAAAGCTTGGAGAATCAACTAATTACAAGTCAGTTTTTGTAGAGAAAGATTCCACCCCCTTAGAAAGGGCGTTTTTTCGCAAGAAGTGGCAGGAGAGTATCAGGCGGAAAGGCACGGGAAATCAGGTCAATCACTTCCAAACTGGCAAGCCAACACCGGCTGCTCACTGACAGTCAGAGGAGATGGAGGACAAGTAATTAGTAGGAATGATGTCCGTAGATCAAGGCCTGCAAATAATGTAGGAAGTAACCGCATACATAAAAGTAAAACTGCGCAAAAAGTTTTAAAATGTTTTTACACGAACTCGGATTCCGTTTTGAACAAAAAAGTGAACTATTAACTGTGATCGCAAACGAGTGTTTTGACATTATTTGTATTACAGAAACACTGCCTAAAAATCACGGGGGGAAAATTGTACCTGTTGAATTTCAGCTGCCAGGTTTTGATTGTTTTCATAACTTAAATGAAGAGCAGTGCAGTAGAAGTGTAGCTCTATGGGTTAGAACCTCTTATGGGGCCCAGCAAGTTGAGTTACCTGCAGAGCATCAATCAGCTAGAGAATCAGTGTGGTGCTAACTTACTCTAAAAGGCAAAGATAGCCTCCTCATAGGGGTCACTTACAGATCACCTAACAGCTCCTCTGATAACAATAAAGTACTAAACAGCCTTTTACCGAGCATGTCATTCAGCAGGCCGCATACGTTGATCGTGAGTTTAACCATCCAGAAATAGACTGGGCAGATGAATCTTCTCCAAGAGATGGGAATCACCCAGCATCCATGTTCTTGGAGTCTGTGCGAGACTCATTTATAATCCAGAAAATCACCAAGCCAACCCATTTTAGGGGTAAACGGACCCCAAATATTCTAGATCTTGTGTTTACCAGTGAAGAATCAATGATAGATGAGCTTCGCCACGTGGCTCCGTTTGGCAAAAGCCACCACCAATCATTGTTTTTCAATATTAAGTGTTGTTCAGGAAAGACGCTTCGGAAGCGTAAACGTTTGAACTTTGCGAAGGGCGACTACGATAAACTCCGTGAAGCGGTGAATGCGGCGAATATTTCGGACTGTATTAAGGACAGGAGTGTTGCTGATTCATGGTCGTTTCTCGAAAAGACGGTTATGTCTGCAGTTGATGCCTGTGTACCCAAGATTACGCTTGGAGGAGTCAAAAAGTCCCAGTGGGTGAACAGTGCAGTTAAGACTCAGCTAAAGACCAAGAAAGAAGCATACAAGCGACCAGACGGCTTCCATCCTAGATTGCTCAAAGAATTAGCAACCGTTCTGGCCGGCCCATTGATAGTATTCTTTCAAAAAACCTTGAACGAAGGAACCTTGCCGTCCGATTGGAAAGAAGCTTAAGTAACACCATTGTTAAAAAAAGTGACAAAAGCAGCCCCGACAACTATCGCCCTGTCAGTCTGAGTCAAGTGTTGTTTGTAAGCTAATGGAATTTGTTGTGAGGGATAGGATTATCGATCTCTTGACTGCTCACCATCTCATATCAGATTGTCAACATGGTTTTATCGCCGGTAGATCCTGCACCACTAACTTATTATCTACGTTGAACGATTGGACTTGCCTGCTGGACGAAAGGGAGCCAGTGGATGCATTGTACCTCGATTTTGTCAAAGCATTTGACAGTGTTCCGCATGAGCGGCTGTTGCGTAAAGTGAAGTCTTTGGGAATTGAGGGAATCGTACTCCAATGGATTAGAGATTTTCTAGTAGGTAGACGACAACGTGTCAGTATTTACGAAACAGTTTCAGACTAGGCATCAGTGCGCAGTGGCATGCCACAAGGAAGCGTTCTTGGACCTATTTTGTTCGTTGCTTTTATAAACGATTTGCCAGAAGCAGTCTCCAGCGTGTGCTCCATGTATGCCGACGGCACAAAAGTTTATAATACAGTGAAGGATACGTCAAATAAAGCGCAATTACAAGAAGATCTTGACAGTTTAGTTAACTGGGCTGATACGTGGCAGCTGCGGTTTAATGCTGACAAATGTTAAGTACTTCATCTCGGGAAGAACAATGAACAGCAAGATTATAGTATTAGACATGGTTGCAACGAGAGAGTAATGATTGAAAAGTCTAGTGTGGAAAAAGATCTCGGAATTTATGTCGACAAGGAGCTGAAATTTTCTAAGCATGTTGAAACGCAAGCTAACACATCCAACAAACTTCTTGGACTAATCAGACGCTCATACGAGTTCCTAGATGCAGAAGCGATGAAACAGTTGTTTGTTGCTGTCGTGCGCCCGAATCTATAGTTTGGAAATGTTGTGTGGTCTCCGAGATTTGAAAAGGACAGAAATATAATAGAGAATGTTCAAAAACGTGCAACAAGGATAATTCCAGGCTTGAAGGGCAAATCCTGTGAAGAAAGATTAAAGATTATGAAGCTTCCAAGCCTCAGTTATCGACGTCTGCGTGGGGACCTCATTGAAGTATACAAGTATACACATGGTTTATACAAGGTCCCCGAAGGATTACTAGAATTTGAATCAAGAACCAACACCAGGTGCCACGCGTATAAACTTAAAAAATCTGCGCTGCAACTTCTCCCCACGCGCTAACATTTCTTCTCGCTTCGAATCACCGGCATGTGGAACAGCCTCCCCGATGACATCGTTGGCGCTCCAAGTATGAACGCGTTCAAGAACAGACTAGGTGGTGCTATGGAAAAATATATGTTCAGATTTGAAATGCCTAGCACCATTTCGAACCCGGTGGAAGTCGAGTAGCTATTTCAAACTATCGTCAGTCATGAAAAGATCCGGTCAAATGACACGATTTTAGACCTTCTGTGAACAAGGCACGAAAGAATCGGCGACAGCTAGGCCACAAGGAAAAGAATCGGTGACAGGCCACATCAGGCCTACAATTCAGCGCCGAGATCACTATGTTATAGGAACTGCGTTGGCATGTCACCGCTTCGACCATGTGGAACAGGTTGACGAACGGGTTGAGGAAGAGATTGCGGAAATAGTTGCGTAACAGGCTGTAAAGTATGTTGTGGAATAGCCTCCGACTAGGTTGCAGGACAGGTTTTTAAACAGCTTGCAGAAGAGGTTGCGGAACAAGTTATGGTTCAGATTGCGGGACAGGTTCCGGTAAAGGATGTGAAAAAGGTTGCGGAACAGGCTACAGAATAATTTGCGGAATAGGTTGCGTAACAGGCTTCAGAACCGGTTGCCGAAAAGGTTGTGGACCTGGTTGCGCAACAAGCTACTTAACCGATCGCGGAACAGGTTTTGGAATTGGTTGCGGAACGGGTTAGGAGCTGGTTACGGTACAGGTTGAAAAACAGGTTGCGTAACGTGCTATGAAACAGGTTGCGGAACAGGTTTGCGAAC